GTTAAGAACAAAAGCAGGAAGGCAGATTATTATCTGAATGGTGACAGTTTAGGAAAAGGTGAGGTGCAACGAGATCCGAGTGTCACGGTGGATCAGTTGCTGAAGGTTGGCATGCACGTGGTGAGGAATGGTAATGATATGCTGACCTTCATAGCAAGAGGATTTGAGCATAGGAGTAGAAATGTCTTGCTGTAGTTATTCAGAGCCTTGGTGAGGCCGCACCTTGAGTATTATGTGCAGTTTTGGGCTCCTAGTCTGAGGAAGGACATTCTTGCTATTGAGGGAGACCAGCAAGGGTTCACCAGACTGATTCCCAGGATGGCAGGACTGACCTATGATCGACTGGGCTTTTACTACTGGAATTTAGAAGAAGGAGGGGTGTCCTCATGGAAACATATAAAATCCTGATGGAACTGGACAGGCTAGATGTGGGAAGAATGTTCCCGATGTTGGGGAAGTCCAGAAATAGGGGGTCGCAGTCTAAGGATAAGGGGTAAGCTATTCAGGACAGAGATGAGGAAGAATTTCTTCACTTGGCAAGTTGTGAACCTGTGGAATTCTCTCCCACAGGAAGCTGTTGGGGCCAGTTCATTAGATATATTCAAGTGGAAGCTGGACATGACTCTTGCAGCTAAACGGGTCAAGGGGTATTGAGAAAAAGTGGGAATGGATTATTGAAATTGCATGATCAGTCATGATCATATTGCATGGTGGTGCATAGCTGAATGGCCTACTCCTATTCCTGTTTTCTGTGTTTCTATTTAAGATGGAGATGAGAATATTTTCTCAGTGATTGTTAGTCTCTGCAGCTCTCTCACCTCATAAAGCAGTGGAGGCAGGGTCATTGAGTTTAATTGAGACAGATTTATGGTGGGTAAGGGAATTGAGGGTTTTGGGGGGTGCACACAAGACAGTGGATAAAAACCAGATCTTATTGAACGGTGATAGAGACTCAAAGAGCCAAATGGCCTACTTCTTCTCCTTGGTCTTATGTCCCTAACTGGCTATCGTTGCCTGCGCCATTTTAAAAGGCAATTGAGTCAACCAAATAAAAGATTTAAATTGGACTCAAAATGTCAACTCTATCTCCACTGATCTGCCAAACCTGCTTAGTATTTTCTGCTTTTGTCTGTGTTAACTATCTGTAGGTCCATACTGGTGAAGACACAAGTTTTCCATTCCTTAGTGATGTTTGTGAGCGACTCAGTTTTCACCACAATCTGAAAAAAAAAAATCACTGTTTATTTCTATGCGTACTTTTCACTTTCACATTTTTCAAACTTCCTCAGTAAGATTTGAACGTGCAATCTCTGGCTTCCTAGTCCTGTACCTTAACCACTATACTACTGTATATCTCTTTTCATCTCTCACTCCCATAGGATTATTCATTGGTCTTTGTTCTGTTTGTTTTGTTATCACTATTCTGTCTATTATCATCTCCAACTTTTGTGTAAAGGCAGGTACAATGCAACTATGTAACAACATCACATTCCCATGTTTTCGCAAAGTGGTGTATAATCAATGTGTTGTCCATGTATTTTGCTGCAAGTCATTCAAACAGTGATCATTTCAGGAGGCCATTCAGCTTACTGGGCTGTTTCTCCATTCAAATTGACCACGCCTGATCTGTATCTCATCTGTATACACACATTTGCTCCATATCTGGTGATACACTTACTAATCTCAGCCTTGAAAACTCCAGTCAACCTGCAGGATCCAAAATCCCATGTGGGAAAAAAAGTGCCCTTGATTTTCATTTGGAAATAGTCCATCTCTAACTTTAAGGTGCTGCCTTCTCTTTCTAGATTCAGCCACTTGAGGAAATAGTTTTTTTAAACTCATTGGATGATGGCGTCACTGGCCAGGCCAGCATGTATTGCCCACCCCTTTTTGCCCAGAGGGCAGTTAAGAGTCAACCACATTGCTGTGGGTCTGAAGTCACATGTAGGCCAGACCAGGTAAGGATGGCAGTTTCCTTCCCTAAAGGACATTAGTGAACCAGATGGGTTTTTTCCAACAGTCGGCAATGGATTTGTGGTCATCTTTAGATTCTTAATTCCAGATATTTTAATGAATTCAAACTTCGCCATCTGCCGTGGCGGGATTGGATCCCTGGCCCCCCAAACATATCTGGGTCTCTGGATTAACTGTCCAGCAGTAATAACACTAGGCCATCGCCTCTCCGTAACTGTATCTGTTGTAAAAAAAAA